ACGCACAGGTTTTTATTCGCTTTAAAGCCGTTGGATGGAAACACACTTTCACCAGCTTAATTCGCATGAGTTTTTTTACCGAACTTCAGATGATTCGATTGACAAGTGGATGGAAACATAGCTTGTGATCCCTGTAATGTCTCCTATACAGTTAGCCAAGGCACTCACCGACGTCTCTCTCGCGCACTGTCACTCGCTCGCAGCGTTCACTTCGCTTTTGTCCCCTAATGTAGATGGAGAATCCCCTTAAGATGAAGAATAAAAAGTGTTTGCTTCACTGTAAGAGGAGTGTGTGTGTGTGTGTGTACCATGTATGTGGAATAAAGACTTCTACGTTTTGCCTAGAAAGTCAACACCTGTCTGAAATGTACAGTTGTTTTGCTGATGATTCTGAACTCTTTTAGTATCTGGGACTATGATGGTAGTTGAACGAACATGGTCTATTGATTCTAAAGATTATTTATATCACCTTTGCATATTTATATTCTTTTAAACTAAGTGCTTAAAGCTGCAGTAGGGAGTTTTGAGAAAACGTTGACTTAGCCTGAAAATTTGAACAAGCACAACTTACAGGTCCCACCCCCTTGCTCTCTGCTGCGCTACAGCCCTCCCTCCACAGCTCGTCCTCCACAGCGGAGCCTGTCGTGAACGCGCAGGCTAGTAAACAGGGCCACCCATAACGGCGGATAAAAAGTTATATGGCACATTCACTAATAGGGACTAAATGTCAATAATATGCTTTACATTGACTATGGCCTGCCCATACTTTGACTACAAACTTGGTCCTCAAATCATTATGTATTTTGCAATAGCCCACATGTAACTTTATAACGTTGCACTCTTTCTATAAGTTATAAATAGCTAGTAAGATAATGGTAATATAATGGTAACTAACGTTACAGTATGTAAGTAATTATTCTAGCGATATATAATGCTAGATAAGGTGTGCTAGTACATTATTTCAGCAACATGACAAGTCAGTGAATTAGCAGGTTTCAATTGTTGCTTAGCAGAGTGCGTGACATTTTATCTACATGTTATGCGGCTAGAGTTTTGACACCGAGTCAATGGGCTCTGTGTAATTCTTTCTTTTTCGCTTGTTTATCGTCATCAGTCTTTTTCCTTTTACCTCTTTGTTTTATGAGCAGGTGTCACTCGAGAATTGGCCGTTTAAGTTGTTTCTCCGTCATAAGCACAGCTGCAGCACGCCGGCAATCTTGAGTTTGAATGACGGTACGCGCTCCGGCGCTCGCGCTGTGCAAGAGAGGGGTGTGATCAGCGCGTACACGAGCGTGATTGGCACTGCTAAGACATTCCTCCTGGCTCTGATTGATTGTTTCTGACCGGGAACGTGTATTTCTTGCAAATGGCAATAGGACCACTGGGAGGAGCCAGAGGAGCTTGATTTTTACACAGATTATCTGTCTCATATTCTACTGTCAGGACATAATGACACTTTTAGCAAATACATTTTTTCAAAAGTTACCTACAGCAGCTTTAATAATAATTTATAAACTAATATTGTACAGGTGTAATTGATTATGGGTAGACCACATACTATATGAATCATACACAATTATTATTATAAATAATCATTTCTAAAAGCCAGATTGTTTTGTCTATAAAGATCATTTGCTATGTAGTGTTATTGTTTTAGTTTTATTGACTACCTTATTTATTGTATAGTAGTAAAATATTATGTTTTGATATGGCTCTTTTGAGAAAAATGCATTAAACAAAAATAAAGAATAATGGCCTGTTTGAATAAAAAAAAAATTAAAAACGATTTCTGCACTTAAACATCACTGCCGTGCTTTTGTACAAAGAATCTCACATATTAGATGTGATACACATTTTTCAGCATGTATTTAAATATGCATTTATGTAATTTAAATATGCATACCTGACACTTGTTTTATTATAGACAGCAACGTGTGAATAGGGCTTTTGGGAACATGGGAACAAAAACATTAAAAGCTTGGGACACCGAAGCAGAAGAAGCTGGTATTGCAGACTGTGACGTTAGTCCAACTGTTATATTATTTATTATACCACCGTGGATATTTACAATGCCAATAATTGACTTACAAATTCAAATGAAAAATATAGCTGCAAGCAGCAACACGGGCCCAAGTCCTGCAAGGCACCGCAATTAGAATAAGTACAGCAAAGTTCAAAGGCTTGGCACCGCAAGCAGAACAAGAACTGCAAACACAGCAAGTACTGCAAGCACAGCAAGTACAGCAGCGCATCAAGCATTTAAGCACCGATAGCAGCGCCGAGCCGCAAGAACAAAAACAGCACAAATTGAATATACATGTAAATGAACGACAGCGAGCATTTAAGCACCAACAGCAGAGCAGAGCCGGAAGGAATTGAAATGACAACATTATACACAATTTTAAAGTTGTCCCACATAGGACTCAAACCCACGACCAGAATGGTTCGGGATTCGAGATGCATGGTTTAGCTGATTGCGCCACTCAGAGGACGTGAATTTCAGAACAGCAGAGGAGAGAGTTCAGTGTGAGAATGAGTTCACAAAAAAGTTCCATGACATGTTAACCAGATTAGCATGCTAAGCTAGCTTAATGCTAATTTAGCTCATGACGTGGTACATCCAATCCTGGCAAAATAGATATCCTCGGATTCGACATGATGCAAGGAATCGATAGACACCAATTTTATGATTTTGTGACAAACTGTTCACAAGTTACAGCCTCTGAACCAATGTTGGGTCAAACTTGTTAAATTTACGACATCATAACTTTTTTTTTCCAATATAGGAAAAAAATCGGGAACAGTACTTCTGTGCGGCTCGGTCCGAAGATCATTTGAGCAAAGTTTGGACAATTTTGGACAAAATTTGAAGGAGGAGTAGCGAAAAAACTGTTTTACATTCGCTCCAATATGGCGGCCAGTCACATTGTTGAAAAATGACATATGAGATATCGTTGAAATCGGCGTAACCCAAGGAATTTATTGACATAAAGAAATCAAATTTCAAGCAATGTTAGCAAAAGTTATAAGCGTTTTTTCAAAAAACAATGATATCTCTGGAACACTAGGTGGCGCTGTGATCAAACTTCTCAGGTACCTCCGGGCCATGCTAATGGTGAAGAAATTTCAAATAGTTTAAAAGATATTGCAAATTATGACAAAATTCAAAATGGCGGACACGGGGTACATCCCATCATGGCAAAATCGATATCCACGGATTCGGCATGATGCAAGGAATCCATAGATACCACAATTATGATTTTCTGACAAAGTGTTCAAAAGTTATTGGCTAAAATAGCAATTTTGCATATCTCATGACCCGTAGGTGGCGCTGTTCCCATCTTTGGCATGGACCCTCAGATCATGCTTCCGATGAAGTGTACCAACTTTCGTATCGATTGATCAAACTTTGGCCGAGATACAGCCTCTTAGCCAATTTTGGGTGGACCTCGTTAAGTTTGCGACATTATAACTTTTTTTTCCAGTATAACAAAAAAATCGGGAACAGTACTTTTATGCGGCTCAGTCTGAAGATCATTTGAGTGCATGTTTGGAGAAAATTGGACAAAATTTGAAGGAGGAGTAGCGAAATAACTGAATACTGTACATTTCAAAATGGCCACTACTGTAATGGGCGGGGTCTTAATGTAAGGTATTGGTTGTGATCAGCATGATGAGAGGAATCAGGTGTACTAAGTTTCATGTCTCTAGATCAAAGGGTTCAAAAGTTATAACCATTTTAATGTTGAATTTTTGAACTGGTGGTGGCGCTATAGAGTTGGTTCTAGAGACTCAAAATTTGGCTCAATTACTTTTCATAACCATATCTATAAGTGTGCCAAATTTCATCATTTTCCTATGTACGGTTCATAGGGCTGCCATAGACTTCCATTTACGGAATAATAATAAGAAAACTAACAGATACAATAGGTGCCTCAGTCCCTTCGGGGCTTGGCCCCTAATCAAGAATGAGAGAGATACCCGAAAGAACATTATTGCACAGCAGTGTTTAGATCAGACTATTCGTCATGGTTGCTTATATATACTGATGGTTCTAAGGATCCTATCTCTGGAAGAACAGCAGCTGCTGTATATCTTCTGAAGTTTAAACAAGTATTAAGAACAGAACAACTGACCATGAATCTGTGTTTGCAGCTGAATTAGTGGCCATGATGGGAGGATGTAAAACCAAGATTGGTAGTAATATGTTCTCATTCTTATTCAGCAATCAAAAGCCTCGAAAGTGGAAATAAATCAGCAAGGCAAGATATTATATATGATATTCTCACAAGTTTGTTAAGAATAAGTAAAGTAAGCTTGACAGTGTTCTTGTGGGAGTGGAGGCTAATGAAGTGGTTGATAAACTAGCTAAGCAAGCTGTAAAACACAGATAAATATTCAAGTGACTGAGCGAAAGAGAGGTTAAAGGAAAAATTAAAGAATTAATAAACAACAAATGGCAAGAAGTATGGAACAGTGATAACAAGGGAAGACATATGTATATTATACAGAAACAAGGAGGAAATGGAAGAAGAGTTTTTAGGAATAGAAAAGAAGATGCAATTATTTCTCGCATCCGAATAGGGCACACTAGACTAAATCATTCTTTGTTCAAAATAGTGTGATCAGGCAGAAACAATTGAACATGTTTTAATAAAATGTATAAAATATGAAGGAAGTAAGAAACTTGGGTGTTGAATCATTTAATATGGAAAGCATTTTGAAAGTACATGCAGAACAAGATAAAATATATAGTGATATTATGAAATATGTTAAAGCAATAGGAATAGACTGGAGAATTTAAAGTAATTGGGTTAAAATTATTATATATTTTTTTTCTTTCATACTTTTGTTTAAGTTGTTAATTTCTACATGCTTATTAGTGCTTCACACTCCAGTCCAGTTGATGGCAGTAATGCACTGAAAGTTGGTTTGCCAACCGCCATAAAACTCCATTAGAAGAAGATATATTATAGACAGCAACGTGAACAGGACTTTTATTTTGGCGTGGCGATGTGACGTCATAGACTCGCGCTCCTGCGTCTGTTGTGATTCTGCTGGAGAAAGGTTTGTGTTTTTAAGCATTTAAATCATTGAAACTGATCAGTTTATGTTATAGTTTTTATAAGCGATGTTAAATGAATTGTTATTATTGATATACCGTTGTAATGATTCATTAACATTAATAAATGTTATTTTTAATTTCAGAAAAGTGCAACAACACATTAGTAACAGAAGTGGTCTCATTTCGCTCCCTGTATCAGTTTCTCATAAAAACAAATAAGGCCAATATAATTTTTTTTGTATATTTTTTTATTGAGAACTTTATAAACAAAGTTGGAAACAGTCACAATGTAGAACAAATAAACGAAAGGAAAAAAGATAAGACAGAGGTATTGCTTTTAAAGCCTTCTGCTTACACGAGTCAGAGATAGACCCAAAGTAATGTTGCACTTAAGTACTTCGTTTAGTACAAATTAAGTTAGCATATTTTGTTTTTGTGTAATTGCTCTTTTACCAATTGGCAATTCCAAACAAAACATTTTCCTAAAAATCATTATCAATGTTTTCAAAAACAAAAGTCTTTCCACCATAATTTAGAGTAATAATGACAAAGCCAAAATAAATGCACTATAGTCTCTGGGTGCTGTTTACAAAAATGAATATATTTTTTGAATTTCTTTGAGAAGGTATTTAGGGAATATCTCTCTCTCTCTCTCTCTCTCTCTCTCTCTCTCTCTCTCTCTCTCTCTCTCTCTCTCTCTCTCTCTCTCTCTCTCTCTCTGATTGAGACAGAGATTTAGTGTGGATTTATTTTTCTTTCTGTTCATTATTCTCATCTTCAACAGGACAAACACACAGAAAAACTCCTGGTGAAGCGACTGAGATCCACGTCACACTATTATAAAGATGGCGGCTATTAAAGTGGAGAATGAAGACATGAAGATTAAAGAAACATTTAGAGTGAAACATGAAGAAACTGAGGAACAAACAAATATGGTGTTTATGAAAGAGGAGAATGAAGACATGAAGATTGAAGAAGCTTTCGGAGTGAAACAAGAAGATACAGAGGAACAAACAGGTTGGTTCTGTCAGGACCACTATCGTCGAATACGATTGACAATTAGCATACAGTTTGCACCCTGCCAGTCTAGCATAGATAAGAGCAGGGAGAGCAGCGATAAACAGAACATAAATGTATTGCAGATATTATTAATGTCCATATTTTAATGTAGAACAAAATTTCGAGAAATTAGTCTGATTGAAAGGGGAATCAGCAGACCAGATCTGACGGGCGAGAGGAGGAGGGTAATTCGCCATAGCTGTTGATAACACTGGAGAAGCTGTGAAAGGGTCAGCTGATGCCATCTTGACTAACATGACCCGCCAGAACTAACTTGATTTTCATTCTCACAGCTGAACTGTGATCCTGAGACTAGCTCATATACAATTATATGAATATATGAATACAATGTTTATGAAACTACTCATGTTTGCTCAGAATGACTTCCAAAAAAAATCCAACTTTGTTGGATCGATGTTAAAACATGACATGACAAAAGTTTGGAATCACTATGATAAAAAATAATAATAATACTTTTATCACAGGCAAGGTCAAGGATGCCCTAAATTGATCACAAATGACAGCAAAGACATGTATAATGTTACAAAAAAATTCCGTCTGAAAACATATGCTCCATAATGATTTCCACACTTTTCGCACAACCATTTTCAACTGTGGTCATAATCAGAAATCAGGGCTCTCAAGTGTCACGCATTGAGTGTGACAGTCACTCATTTCGGTCTTTTGTCACGCTCTCCCGCCACACATTGTATTTCTCACGCTGAAAAACTATTTGTAATATATTTAATATGCCGCAGCGCCCAAAACTCAGGCCGCGCCGCTCTCACTGTGGAACCGGCATGAATCAAGCGCGTTTCCTCTGGTGTTGTTCGTCGAGCAACACAATAGCCAATCAGAAAATAGCACTATTGTATCTGGGTAAGATTTAACGCAACAACCAATGACAAAAATGTTACCAGCACAGGCACACCTTTCAACCAAAACATTAAAAAAAAAATTACATTATTTTGCCAGTAGGTAGGCTATATTTGTACACCGGTGGACGCGCGTCGATCGTTGCCGGAAGTCAGATATTTTCATTTATAAAGTTTTAAATATGTATATTTTTACGACAAAACCGCACGGATTACCCTCAGAAGGCCTTCGTTTATCCCCCTGGAGCCGGATGGATCACTTCTGTGAAGGATATATGCACATTTTGGGACTTGAAGGAGGTGGACCCCATTGCTTCACATTATATCCACTGAAGGGTCTAAGACATTTTCTAAAATAACTGAAAATGTGTTCGTCTGAAACAAGATTGACATATGCATCTCGAACGGCTTGAGGGTGAGTAATGGATGGTTTAAATATCATTTTTGGCCGAACTATCCCTTTAAGCTCATCCAGAGTGTTGGGTCTTGCGTCTCTCAACTTTCTCTTCACAATATCCCACAGATTCTCTATGGGGTTCAGGTCAGGAGAGTTGGCAGGCCAATTGAGCACAGTAATACCATGGTCAGTAAACCATTTACCAGTGGTTTGCCAGGTCGTGCTGAAAAATGAAATCTTCATCTCCATAAAGCTTTTCAGCAGATGGAAGCATGAAGTGCTCCAAAATCTCCTGATAGCTAGCTGCATTGACCCTGCCCTTGATAAAACACAGTGCACCAACACCAGCAGCTGACATGGCACCCCAGACCATCACTGACTGTGGGTACTTGACACTGGACTTCAGGCATTTTGGCATTTCCTTCTCCCCAGTCTTCCTCCAGACTCTGGCACCTTGATTTCCGAGTGACATGCAAAATTTGAGCAACAGTCCAGTGCTGCTTCTCTGTAGCCCAGGTCAGGCGCTTCTGCCGCTGTTTCTGGTTCAAAAGTGGCTTGACCTGGGGAATGCGGCACCTGTAGCCCATTTCCTGCACACGCCTGTGCACGGTGGCTCTGGATGTTTCTACTCCAGACTCAGTCCACTGCTTCCGCAGGTCCCCCAAGGTCTGGAATCGGTCCTTCTCCACAATCTTCCTCAGGGTCCGGTCACCTCTTCTCGTTGTGCAGCGTTTTTTGCCACACTTTTTCCTTCCCACAGACTTCCCACTGAGGTGCCTTGATACAGCACTCTGGGAACAGCCGATTTGTTCAGAAATTTCTTTCTGTGTCTTACCCTCTTGCTTGAGGGTGTCAATGATGGCCTTCTGGACAGCAGTCAGGTCGGCAGTCTTACCCATGATTGCGGTTTTGAGTAATGAAACAGGCTGGGAGTTTTTAAAAGCCTCAGGAATCTTTTGCAGGTGTTTAGAGTTAATTAGTTGATTCAGATGATTAGGTTAATAGCTCGTTTAGAGACCCTTTTCATGATATGCTAATTTTTTGAGACAGGAATTTTGGGTTTTCATGAGCTGTATGCCAAAATCATCAGTATTAAAACAATAAAAGACCTGAAATATTTCAGTTGGTGTGCAATGAATCTAAAATATATGAAAGTTTAATTTTTATCATTACATTATGGAAAATAATTAACTTTATCACAATATGCTCATTTTTTGAGAAGGACCTGTATATCAAAGTGATTTCCGTCATTTTGACAGATTATAAATTGCATTTACCTGTGAAAACAAACCTGGAAAGAGACGTGAGGATTTGAGGAGAATAACGAGAGATTCTTCGTGCATTCTCCAGTGAATTATTAATGAAATATCGGGAAATGAAATAAAATATTATTATTATCGGGAATTAAATATTAATTTCGGAAGAACAGACCACAAATGTGCCGCATATGTTGTCCTTTTTTTATACTTTTACAGCGGATTGGAAAGGAAAAAAAGAAAATCATCATGAGGAAAAGAAAGAGACTGAAAAGAGCTCTTGCCCTAGAAATTCTTGTTATAACATGTCACGTTTAACGTTATTCTCATGATGTCTGAAAATAAATCATGAGGGAAAATTGACATCTCATCCAGTCAAACTGACGGATCAGCTTTATTTGTAGGCAAACCTTATGATTTGAAATGATTTGTTTTAGCCTTTTTGAATGGAAGTTCCCAAAACCGGAAGTGCCACCCATAATTGAACGCAGTAAGCTCGTCAGGAATAAGGTGGATACAATTGTAGTTTAAGTTCGCACTGAAACTATATTTACCTTTTTGGAAATAATCCATTAAACCTGCTGAGAAACGATCGCGTGAACTAAAATGAGCAGTTCCACGCGCATGCCCGGGAATCATTGTAGGGAATCTCGGGATTAGCTCTATTATTTACAGGGAATAAGTTGCCAATGTTCTGTATGAACGATTGAATGCAACGAACAATAGCTGGGTTTCAGTCACGTGATTATGATGACGCGCGATTATTGGACTACAACGCGATTTTTCCGGGCTTTATGAAGTCGTAATGTTACTCATTTAAATAATTCCCAACCACGGAAAATGCAAAAAAAGGTGGAGGACTGGTTGAGCTGCATTAGAGAAGACAGTGTTGTTGCTATGTTGAAGAGATGCTGTTTTTTCCACCCCGTTTCCAAAACTCATTTGTTTGACCTTCCGCAGGCTGACGAACTTGGAGTGGTGAACATTTATTGACATCTGTTTCTGAACATAATAACCCCAATGTTTATCTGTGCGCTGCACATTTTATGGAGAACAGCTTTTTTTCTGTAGCTTTTGTAAGCTCTCATTTTTGTAAGACGGTTCAACGCTCCTTAGGAAAGTTAACCATGGTTTTGCGATTGAAAACTAAGGTAATACAAACTGTAATCGGACAAATATCACAATTAAATGGTGGATCTCATCGTATCTATAATTTATAAAGAAATTAGGTTCTTGCAAAGTCTGTGCATGAAATCCGTTATGCACGATCCTCTTGTTTGTTAACAGTGTCAGGGTCTGAATCGGGCTCGAATTATCTTTATATTGACGTCATCCTTAATATTTACATCTTAGTAGAGCTCACGGTTACGGAGGGACAGGACATTTCCTGAAAATGCACTAAACGCTGCCAATCACAACACACTGGGCCAGCTAACCAATCAAAGCACATTTCATATTTCGACAGGAGGAGCTTAGTTGAAACCAACGCATTTGAGACAGACTGGGGAGAGATGAGATGTAATAATGGAAAACATGTGAACATTTTTTGAACAATCAAGCATTTAAACATAATCTAGTACAGCCCAAAAACAAAATCAAGGCTTCCTAAAAGGGCATAATAGGACCCCTTCAATACCAGGTGTAAACGGTCATAGTTCAAGAAGCTCTCCAGCTTCAGCGCATGATGATCAGTGCTGTTATTTGAAACAGTAGCTTATATTCATTTTAGATGTTTCATTTTCTAAAACATTGATGCATTATTCAGACTGATCTCATGAATTGGTGTATGTATGACACGCCAATTCGTATTTCCATTTTTGGCGTGCTATCAACACACATAATCGCTTTTCAGCGTGTTTATCAACGTTGTGACTTAACGTTACATTACTGTATATATAAATATATGACCTACCCCAACCCCATCCCTAAACCTACCCGTCATTTATGAGTCTTCCCCTACCATCCTAGGAAAAAAAATATTGCTCCACAGATGTAAATATACATTTTGATTCGTTTCGCTCGTACATTTAACGGCGTGTACATACACGCGGAATCACTCGGACATTTAACGGCGTAGACATACACGCAAAAGATGACGGTTAATTTCAGATAGCAGATAGCTCAAAATGCGTATAGATAACACGCCACTTTCAAGTCAAGTGGCGTGTTATCTATACGCATTTTATGTTTACGCAAAGTCATGATGTCATATTGCATTATTAATAATAACTAGCACTTTAATTAGTCTCGTATTATTTTCATCAACAATATGGTTTAATTAAATCATTTCATTATTGTCTGTGTTTCATTAAAACAATTTATGGCACATGCATTTTGATTATTTTTATATGTAAGTAATGTTGTCCAATGACTTATTTAGCCATTATTTTATTTCTTTGAATACAAGTGGTAATAGTCAGATAAATAACTTAAAATTAGAGATGCACTGATTACAAATTTCTAGGCCGATTCCGATTTTTCATTGAGTTTGACCTGCCAATACCGATTTTAGCCGATTCCAATTTCATTTTTTTCTAACCACTTTACAGCAAACACAAATATGTATTTTCTATATATATATATTTTTTATAAAACACCATATCCTTTTACCCAAACCGAATAATAAAAACATGTTTAAATGGGTAAATTTTCTATAAATATTTTTGAGTCTTCATTTTCTTTTCTGACTTAGCCTACTCCAGTTCTTGTTAAAACACAGTAGACGTGTACATTCTGTGCATTTTGGGCACTTTTTGTGTGAATCCATATTTATTTTGTCCATCAAAAGTGTGCTTTCACTTTAATTGAGCGTGAGCAGCGCAGGAAAAATACACTCTGCGCCGAAACCCCCGCTTCACTGCTGGTCATATGAGTTGAATAATTGCTTGTTTTGTGGGTACTTTTATAAAGAAATGCCGGTAGGGTATTTCGGGGATGGAAAGAAAGGAGTCCTTGGTGGATTTTACAGCACCAGAGAATTTACAGGATACTGCTCACACCATTGCTCCATCTTTGCCGCCAATAGGTACAGTCCCAGGGATTCAGAGGATGAATAAAGCTCATTATAAATATTCACTCTCTGATCTGATTGCTGAGAATTATTTTATTTTTTTTGGCTGCTCCCTGAGCGGTTCACTCATATTATCCTGTTCAGTGTGTTCAATGTATACTGCGACGCTCATGCATTGCTCCCGATGTGAATGTACTCATTGATTAACAAGCACACCGAAAAAAATACGCACGCAGGCCTACATATGCGTTCCGTGTGCACGTGATGCTGATGTTGCGCGATGTTAATCATGCGGCGCCCGAGTGCATTTGACCGGCATAAAATTGGAATATGTCAGACTGACCGGGTGGTCGCCGATCACGTGAAAATCGGCCAATTCCAGTCACCAGCCGATCAATCGGTGCATCTCTACTTAAAATATACAGGTGTCATATATACAAATATACATTTGTCCACAAATGCAAACATATTTCTCAAGTTATCCAAGGCCTCGTTTACACTGCAGGTCTTGATGCCCAATTCTGATTTGTTGCCTATATCCGATTTTTTTTACCGTCCGTTTACACGTTCTTTAAATTGTGACCCATATCCGAGTCATGTGTTTACACTTGACTGAAACATCGCGCATGTTTAAAGGGGTCTTCTTGCTCAGATGGAGGAACGCGCAGCGAGATCTCAGGACAGGTGGGAACATACAATATGATCTCATAAAAGTGAGTAGCCTATCTATAGCACAAATTTTATTTCTCATGCCATTTATAGCCTACGCCAAAAATAGTTTTTGCTTGCATATGATACGCACTGTAAACGTGCGTATTAAACGCCATAAAGCTATATTTTTGGCGTAAATGCCACGTAAAAAAAAAATCGTGCAATAAACGCACTTTCATGAGATCGTGGCGGGCTTTAACGAGGAGCAGTGGGTCCGAAATTTTAGGATGAGCAAGCCAACCTTTGATATGTTGTGTCAACGTGTGTCCACATTCCTCTCCTACGCCGACACAATGTTTCATCGGGCCATCCGTCCATCCGCAGATGCGCGTCGGGGTTTCTCTCGTCATTAAACCGCGGAGACGCAGCCTAATGCCTCGGAAAATCCGATCTGGCTGTTTACATGACAGTCGCATTGGCACATATCCGATTTACATCTGATTTATTTCCACATATGAACGAGGCCTGAAACCGATCTCGAAATATCCGAATGCATGCGTTTTTTTCCTGTTTACACTGTCATAGAACACATCCGATCTGTGTCGCATATGAGTAAAAAATCGGAATTGGGTCACATTTCACTGGCAGTGTAAACGAGGCCCAAGAGAAGGTTGTCGTCTATGTTGCCTCTGATGAGAACAGAAACTGAAAACAAAACGGTTACTCTGCAAAACTGAACATGAATAAAAGGATGCTATTTTAGGCCAATATTTTCATGTCTGTTGCTTTGTGTCATTAACATGGGTTTAACTTGTATTTGTTACTTTTCACCATAGACCTGATGGCGCTGAAAGAAGAGAGTCAAGAACTGAATGAAATACAAAATCAACACGACAATCATCATGATTTCGCAACTGGAGAAAAATCTTTAAATTCCTCAAAGACTGAAGAGACAACAACTACAAGTAATTTCACCTGCTTTCAGTATGGAAATAGTTTTGATCAACAAGAAAATCTTGCAGTTCACATGAGAACTCACACTGGAGAGAAGGCTTACACCTGCCAACAGTGTGGAAAGGGTTTCGCTCAAAAAGGAAACCTTAAAGCCCACATGAGAGTTCACACTGGAGAGAAGCCTTTCACCTGCCCTCAATGTGGAAAGGGTTTCGCTCAAAAGGGAAGCCTTAAATACCACATGGGAACTCACACTGGAAAGAAGCCTTTCAGTTGCCGTCAATGTGAACAGAGTTTTTTACGTAAGACAGCCCTTAATGCACACATACAAACTCACACTGAAGATTACACCTGCCAACAGTGTGGAATAAGTTTCAGTCGAAAAGGAAACTTTAAAGTTCACATGAAATCTTACACTAGAGAGAAGCCTAACACCTGCAAACTGTGTAGAAAGTTTTTCACTCAAACAAAAGAAGCATTACACGCCACATGAGCATTCAAACTGGAGAGAAGCCTTACACTTGTCCTCAATGTGGAAATAGTTTTTCACCTCAATGTGGAAATAGTTTTTCACCTCAATGTGGAAATAGTTTTTCACGTAAGGCAACCCTTAATGCACACATGCGAACTCACACTGAAGGGAAGGCTTACACCTGCAAACTGTGTGGAATGCATTTCAGCTAAAAAGGAAACCTTAAAGTTCACATGAGAACTCACACCGGAGAGAAGCCGTTCACATGTGATCAGTGTGGAAAGAGTTTCAAATAGTAAAATATCCCTTATTAACCACATGAGGAGTCACACAAAAGGAAACTGTTTTATGTGTCATCAGACAGGAAACACCTCAATAATCCTGTAATAAATTCACACCAGTGAGAAGCCTTTCACCTGCCTTCAGTGTAAGAAGATTTTTTACAAATCAAAGAGACCTAGAACATCATTTGAAAACTCATTCTGGAAAGAAATTGTAGTGTTGTTCAGTGTGGCAAGAGGTTACAAAATAGAGCAGTTTCAAATTACACATTCACTCTGGAGGAAGACCATTTAATTTGATCAGTGTGATAAAAAAAATATTTTGTTATCACACTTACAGCAGGTCGTGCAGATGTGAGACCCTGTGTGTTTGTGTGGAATGCATTTTAAACGGCTTGATAAATTAAAATGGCACCAGAAAATATGTATCTTTGTGAAAGTAGTTTTAATCAACATATTAAAGTAACTTCCATCTTGTTATTAAATTGCACAACATCATAACAAACATTCAAAACCTACAGAGCAAAATTCTCCGTGTACGTGTCTCACACTAAGAGAGTGTTAAAATAACACTGAACCAGTGTTTAAAGGGTAACTAAACCCTAAACCAACTTTTTTTAGTTAATGATCTGTAAGAATGGGGCTTTATTAGTGCTGATCATTGATTCGAGTAACTTTTTTGACATTTTGGTATAAAGGGTTTTAATTCTACAATATATGGGAAAACAAACGTCTGAGTGCTGCCCTCTTCAGTTTGGACGGTGGCTACTGCAGTTGAATTTTCCTATTGGATGTTTGCGGTGCTTCGTGACGTAGCGGGGTTAGCTGACGTAAGCAGGTTCCAGCTCACCACGCCCTTGGCAGTATAAACACCATCTTGTTTCGTCAAAACCACTGTGAGTCAAGAGTTGGAATTACGAGTATTGAAAACGATCAGAATAGAGTATTTTAGCATAGCATTTATATAGTTATTTAGATTATTTTGTGTAGCCTAGTTAGTAGCATAGTACAGTTAGGATAGCTTCAAGTTAGCATAGATTTATTTAGTACAGTGGTAAGGATGGTAATGCAATAGAGGTGGACATGGGCTTACAATTAAAATCAAATCCCAGGAACTGAATTGAAATTGTGTTAAGCAATAATACAAACAGAAGCCTTCCAGTCATTGTACCATAAACATTGTAACATGTTGTCACTAAACTTCATAAAATTATGTTTAGTTACCAAATGTTTTGGCAATCACAATTACATATATTGTGATGCAAGTTGTTTCTTTGCACTATTACACTATTTCAAACTTAAAACCTTCAAACCTCACTTATAAAAAAACGTCTGACTTAAAGCTAGTGAGTCTACTTCATACTTCGTTTTTACTAACTCCCATTTCCATCAAAGTGAAGTCAAAAAGTCACACCATGTCATCCCTGTGATTCCCATTTGTCCAGTCACCTGTTTTTAAGAGCAAGCATACCATCTGCTTTTACAGAAAGGTACTTGCACTCTAGGACACTGTCTACATCAGACCAGGAACGAACATGGTGCCAGATCTTTCTGTTGCTCTGCCCCCTTGTTTTTTTCTCTAGTGCCTCAGAATTGGAGAGTGTAGCAGTCATGGTGACAGTGGCAATGAATCCAAAATCCATCGGCTGAAAGAATGGAGAAAGAAACCTTGGGAGAAACAAGGTTCAGTCGGGGGGCCACTTCTCTTCTGGCCATCGAACAAACAGTGTCATTATTGTCTAGTTGACAGGACGTCTATTTAATTTACTTAAAATGTTACATTTAATTTACAGACTGGAAGACTTTTTGTGCTATTTTCTAACAGTTTAGACTTTAATAAGGAGAGAAAACCTGCACAACCTTTTCACAGGCATTTTGTTTTCATAGTTAGATGGATATCGTAGATCATGATGTATCATCAGAGGATTGTCTAGCAATATATCGATTATCTTAGAAATGCTGAATCTTGATATTATCGGTATCGTATCCTATCGTGAGGTACCCTGTGATTCCCACCCCTAATGACAATACAACCCTTAATCCATATCGTCTAGTCCAGTGGGAAATACACCAACAAACTAACACAAGAAAGAAATTAATTTTGACGACAATTTCAAATGACATGAGCGGACGCCGCTGTTTTTCAACGGTGTATCCATTTAATTCAAAGAGTGTCAGTACAGAACCTTTAACAAACCTTCTTTGACCAGCGAGGATTGTTGGCTCTATGAGCTGATCAGTGGTGAAGTGTCTGCTACAGAGCTTAACGTGTGAGGAGATGGCGAACTGATCCCGGCGTATGTTTACAAGCCGTTGTCTTCTCAGGTCGGCATGAGTCGGAAAGCTGTGAAGACTAAGTACTCCGTTAAATTTGGATGACGCTAAACAAAGCAGACTGATCTCATGAAATGGCGTATGTATGACACGCCAATTCGTATTTCCATTTTTGGCGTGCTATCAACACGCATAATCGCTTTTCAGCGTGTTTATCAACGCCTTTGACTTAACGTTATATTACTGTATTATGTATATATAGATATATCACCTACCCCAACCCCATCCCTAAACCTACCCGTCACTGGGGTTAATACCATTTATGAGTCTTCTCCTACCATCCTAGGAAAAAAAATATCGCTCCACATATGTAGATATAGATTTTGCTTCGTTTCGCTCGGACATTTAACGGCGTACACATACACGCGGAATCACTTGGACATTTAATGGCGTAGACATACACGCAAAAGATGACGTTTCGTTGAGTGGCACACAACAGTGCTCTTGAGTATTTCTTCTCCTGTTTCTGAAAATGTTCCGTCTTAAACACTTTCCTCCTTGCACTCATGATAAAAGCTTATACATTAACAAGCTAGACCAGTGGTCCCCAATCCTTTTTGAACAAACGCCCCCCTGACCTATTCATGATCCTCTTAACACCCCCACCTCCACCTTCTCAAAAAAAAAAAAAAAAAAAACCTTCAAAAATACAATTACAGCCAAACAATTGCAACACTGATACACATTTTTTTAAGATTAACCAATCACGTGAACAATAACGTAACCTAAATGGCCAATGAAAAAGCAGCGGCCATTCACGCACTCAATTAGGCAATATATATATATACAGTGGTTAAATTGGGCCGGGGCTCTCCGGGGCTCAGCCCCGGCACATAAGCCTGCTCGTTTGCAGTCAGTTGCCTACTGGAAATTATGTCACATACAATTTGATGAAAGTGATGCTTTTGAAAACATATTTCTGACAATAAATGAAAGATTTTTGAAATGGCATGTCTATTTTGTCTCGGCGGAGCTGAGAACAATCGGAACACGGCCGTATTTTTGTTCAGCTGCTTAATCTCGTTGTCAGTCGACCATGATCGCGCACCGCTCGCGCATGCGCATCTGACACGAATAAATGTACGCAGCAATAATGAATGTTCCTGGGAGACCGTGGTTGCGCGGGATGTGGATGTTCCAGAAATGTCAAAAAAAAGTGCCCTGGCCTTGAATGACAAGGTAAGGAAAATAAGACTAAATCAAAATTAAATAACCAGGACTAGGTTGACCATGTGATTTTTCTCAGGAGATGTTTTGAGCATTTTACTTCAGATCATAGGCGTCGATTTCGGTGGGGACGGTGGGTACGTGTCCCCACCAGATTTCGTCATGAGTCATTTTGTACCCACCACTCTTGGAAACATTGAGGTACGGATGTACCTAATACAAATAAAACATCTCCAGTTAACTAGCAGAGCATTCATTTAGTTCGCTCTTAAATAAGAGATCTAGCGCTAAAATGTTTTGTTTTTTAACTCAAGCTGAGCGCTCGTGTCCGCTGCTATCAGTGTCGTGGATACAGTGTTCTCTGTGGCTCGCGCACAGTCTTCACTCGGACGCGCACTTCAATCTATCGCCGTTGCGGAGAGACTCTCTATATATTCATTCCGGTGAAATTACAAAATAAAATGCACACAAACGTGTCCCTGGCTGCTTGATATAGACTGTGGCTGCATTCCAAAACGCATACTCAATGAGTAGGTACTTAATTTCAATGAGTACTTACTTAACGAGCGCTAAAAGAGTAGGTACTTAATAGCCAAATCTCGTTGAGTATGAATGCGATCCGGACATCATCCGCCATGTTGACGTTATCATGTGACCTATGACGTTATCACAAGCGCAACAATTTAAAAGTTATGAGCAACAGGTGCACCACCGACATCTCACTGCATCAGTACAACCTAACTAGAACAGTTTTTCATCAGCGTTTGAAATGGTTGGCATGTCTGCAATAGTTAGACGAATGTGTGCACAAAGGAGACGTCGGGCTGCTGCTCGGAGATCTCGCCTTTGGAGAAGACTGATGATTTTACACTCAAAGAAAGCAAGTATTACTACTTAAAAAAAATAAGATTACCCCAGAATGAATTGCATTACTAGCCCACCCCAACACTTATGCACAATAATGACAAATGCTGACCAGCACTTAATTATATAAAATTTTCTTAATTAAAATTATATATTTTGGTAAAACAAGCAAACTGTTGTATTGTCATATGACATAGATGTATGAATACACACTAGACAAATGCAGCTGATGTGAATACATACAATTTCATTCAAGCAATGATTGATGCAAGAATTCATGAAATGAATATTTTATTGAAACATGAATAAATATTTAATATGAAACATGTATAAAAATAAGTAAGTAAATGAATGAATAAAAGATATCATATCATCACAATAAATAAATACATATACAAGTCAATACCACATGAAACATTGCTTTATACAAGCTTTTTGTTCTAACAAACTATGATGTATTGACAGGCGGTGAACCCCACATCATCCTGCCATCTCAACAGAGGTGTTCCCATTCTGCTGCTTTATTTTGATGAAGCAGCTGATCACCGTGCCCACCTTCGCCTGTCTCTGCCGTCCATCATGTCCCTGATTGCTGCAGTCAGACTGGGATCGGAGCATGGATGGGAACGGGTTCCTGCACTGGCTGGCCCATGCAGCATCCTACAGGGTGGTGTCGCAGGCCTTCGACATCCCAAAGACCTCTGTGTATAACATTGTGCACAGAGTGAGCAAGGCCATCATGGGAATTTTGAGGAGGGTGATCTGCTTTCCGACCGGAGATGACCTGGAGGCAGTGGGAGCAGGATTTGCACAGCTGTCTGGGTCACCAGCTTTCAGCAGAGCAGTTGGTGCAATAGACGGCTGTCATATCCGTATCAAACCTCCAGCAAATAACTCCCACTGCTACTTCAACAGGAAGCTGTTTCACTCCATCCAACTCCAGGCCATCTCTGATCACCGGGGGAGATTCCTTGATGTGTTTGTGGGGTATCCTGGGTCTGTGCACGATGCCAGGGTGCTGAGGAACAGCCCAGTGTATGCTGGCAGTGTATATCCACCTGCAGGCAAGTGCATCCTCGGGGATGGAGGCTATCCTTGCCTGAGTGCCCCCATCTGCCTCATCACCCCGTACAGAGAGCCAGTACAGAACCCTGTGCAGGCTCGGTTCAACAGCAAGCACTCCCGTGCCCGCAACATCGTGGAGAGAGCGTTTGGGAGGCTGAAGACACGCTGGCGCTGCATTTTCTTCAAGGCCTTGGAGGTGAGCCCTGCCTTCGTGCCTGAGGTTGTTGCGTGCTGCGCTGTGCTTCACAATCTCGCTCTAGCCAATGGGGACATCGTTGAGCCAGAGGATGAGGAAGACCTTGATGACGGCCTCCCTAATCCCCACAACCTTGAAGCAAGAGTGGGAGAACATGCACGGGACAATCTGGCTGCTGCAGTGTCTGCTCCAAACATCCCTGTGCCTGCTCTCCATGAGCACGACTACCTTTAAAACATTTAAGAAAATTAAAATGTTTTACAATTCATTTTGTCAGCATTCCGTTTCTTGCCAAATGTAATTTTATAGGTTTACAATTACATGCAAATATTAGTTAGAGCTTTACTACCTTTGTAGTGTAGTGGGCCAAACCACTGAACTGGTTAGCAGAAGATTGCTGGTCGATCAGCAAGGCTCTTTACTCCAGGCTGGCCCAGGGTCATTGTCCCTGTAATAAATGCATTTAGTCACTTTGGATAAAAACATCTGCATAAATGTGATTGATTTTTGTAAAGCTTTTTTTTTTTAAATGGTCTCAGACATAAACGCTCAAAGCTGCTTATTTCGTCAAGGTATTACTATAATACAAAATGCATACATACATTTACTACAATTTCTATTTGGTGGGTGAAAGGGTTAGTTCACCTCAACATATAAATACAGCCATTATTTATGTGCTTTCATGCTGTTAGATCCCTCTGTTTTTTATTGTTTAAATACAAAAGGGAATTTTTGTCAAGTTTGTTCTGCTGGTTTCATACAATATCAGTCAATGGAGCCCAACTTTCAGAAGCTTCCTGGCATTTTGATTATGCTTTTGAAGCTTCTGAAAGTCTATTGAGTGGTATTGTATTAAACCAACAGTACAAACCTGACCAAAATCACCTTTTGTGTTCAGGAAAACAAAAACAAAAACAGAGGGATCAAACAACATGAAGGGGAGTAAATAATGACTGAATTATTTGCTTGGGTTCACTAACCATAGTTAATGCAAAACTTAAGGTAGTTTGTGTAAACAGTCTCAAGTTCAGCTTAGGTCATGGAGGGCTATTGTCCAACCCTAATTATACACACCTGAATCAATTTAAACCAATTAGTAACTGACTACTTGAAAATTACAGACAGGTGTGCAAGAACTGAACCCTCCATGACCTGCCTTGACAATCCCTGCATGAGCTCTGTGTGCATTTAGAAATCATATAATACACTCCAATAAAACAGTTGTTTTAAAGTTGTTTTTTTTACATTACACCACCCATTCACTAATTATTCATCACTTCATAAATATTTAATTTATGAATTTTATCACAATCTTAAAGTATCAATAAATTCCTAGAAGTCTATAATGTAGGCTACTGTGAATGCCTAGAAATTGTTTGTTTTATATACATAGTATTGTACAAAAATCTTAGGCCACCATTTGTTGTTGTTGCACAGTACTGTGTGTGTATGTATATATATATCATTTAATTCATTTTAACCCAATTGTGTAAATTATCATAAGATGTTTTTTGTTATTGAATTTATTTTTTTGCAAGGATTTCAAGGACAGAAAGGAATTTTTCATCCCTTTCTTTTGTTTCTTTATCTCTCCTTTCCTCTCTCTCGCTTGCCTCCCGGTGCCATCTCTCTTCTCTTTCTCTTACTTCTCTTTCTTGCCTTTCGTCTTTCTCTCGTCTCTCCCGTTCTCTTCTATCCTCCTTCTCCTCCATTTCTCTCCACAGTCTCTCCTCCCTCTCAGCTGCTTTCCTCTCTCTCTCCTCTTCCCTCTCCTCCATCTCCTGGATCAGGTCCTCCAGATCTTTCACCCTTTTCCTGGCTCTTGCTGGCTCTGGCCTCACTGAGGATGAAGAGGGTGAAGAGGCCACAGCAACATCCGGCCCACATGAGGCAACGAGGGCAGGAGGAGAGATGGAGGGTCTGCCCCCAATTGCCTCATACATGGCAGTGTACCACTTCCAGGACGCTGCTGTGGCCCCTCCATCCTCAGTGCTCACCCCTGTCTGCGGACATTTCAGATCCTGCAAAAATGCACAAGCATGATACAAAAGCAGTCATTTTAACATCACAATATTTAATTATTTTATTTCTGTATTAGAAGTAACAAAATTATCTTACTTTGTATTTTTGTTTAAGGTTTTCCCATTTTTTTTTTTACAAATGCCGCCGTCAACCTGCTGGGTAGGTCCTGCTCCACCACAAAAGATCTGCAGCAAATGCAGAGAAATCAAGGATCAAAAAAGTGCTGTAATATCTCTGTTGAGATATACTACAAATAAACAATTAAATAGATTTTTAATTATTTCTGTATACTCACTCAAAGCCTTTGATGGCAGCATTACGCTTTCCGGTGAAGAGGGCTTCATGAGCCACTCTCCACCGGATAAGCAGATGCGTGTGCTCATCTGTCCCTGTAACATCCAGACAAGATTTACGTTACCTCTGTGATTTATAAGCTCAATACTACATTTACATGTTGTTCATAAATCTTCCACAATTTTTCAACAGTACTTATGGACAAATGAAATAGATTACTTATGTTTAGTTACTTTATGTAAATTTATTAAACATTCGTCTAATGAAAACAGTGTTGACAACAGTGAATTATCTTAAACAATAGTACACATACATAACTCAGAAGTCTATTTCATATCTATTAGACGTAGAAATATGCAATTCTTATATTAGATTTTCTTACCAGATATTAAATAGACATTTAGTAATTGTATTAGAGATGCATACGGTTTAAAATGTATGCAAATCCACTTTGGAGACGTATGTGTCCTTACTGGAGCTCCTCTGTTAGCTAACTTAATAAAATGTGATTTACAGCAAAATCACAAATTTACCATACTATATAGCGTCTTTACACCTTCAACAATTCAACAGTTTACTGTACAGTAGTTCAACACATGCGATCATTTGATTTGTAATATCTAATACTCACATTTGAAAACACTCTCGTCCGTCATCATTTGCGTCATGTTCGAGTATGACCTATCCTTCTTCTTCTTTTTTATGACGTATCCTCTCGCGTGGCCTCCTGGGATAGAAGAGTATCCATCGGTTGAGCACTCAAAAATCTGTCCGGAAGCAGTAAGCCATCCGGGAACTTCTCGCCTACTCTTTTATGAATACTGATGTTTCGAACGTACTGCTTCCTTCACGTACTGTTTTCGCCTACTATATAGTAGGAGAGTAGGCATATTGGAACGCACTTAAGTCCGAATCTCGCGATAATTAGTACGTCATCCAGGTAATTCTCGCCTACTCTTTTGGATTCATACATACTTTTTCGCTCGCCTACTCTTTTTCCCATACTAAATAGTAGGGAAGTATGCGGTTTGGAACGCAGCCTGTAACCACTGAGGAACGTATTCAGTTTTGAGAGAAAAAAAAACTATACCGAGGGCGGATTAGAACCCGTAACCTCTGACACGCTTGGCGGATTAGAACCCGTAACCTCTGACACGCTTGGCAAAAGATCTACCACTAGACCATTTCAGAACTCAAACTTTATTTACGGGTTAAACAGGCTGCAGTTTGTACCCAGCACTTTTGAAAATGCACTTCTGAATGCGTCTCTGTCCCCACCACATTTCAAACCAAACTGACGCCCGTGCTTCAGATACCGGATTATCAGCAAACTGCCAAGAGAACTGCTAATTTAACGTTAGCTGGCTACTTAAAATAAACTAGCAATCTATTCAGTCAGCATATTTGTATTTGATCTGTGTGAATTACAGAAATATAAGACTTGCTAGACCCAAGTTACCTTTAGCTACCAAGCTCTGTGGTTAATGAAAATTAAATCAACCATTTATTCTCCAACTTTCAGAGATAAATTGAAATGAGTGGAGCATATCCACCCAAGAAGAGGAAACTGACTTACTTCTTCAAAAGGTGGGGTGATATTCCAGACATTTTTAGCATGACTAGCTCTGTAACATGTTGGCAGTAGAGATGGGACAGTATGAAAATGACCAAAATTATCACAGTGTTCGGTATTATTGCGGTATTTTTAAAAGTGTGTTCAATATGTTCAGAAAGCACTGACAGCCTGTCAGTGACAGGCCTACACAAGCTGAAATAGTTTCAAAAAGTGTAACAGTGCTTAATATATTACAAAAATATAGGCAATATGCTTGTAAAAACTATTGAAAACGGTCTGAAACACTGAAAGAAATGGAAGCTTTAGCGTTAAGTTCTGCCAGGAAGACTCAATTGCTACGTCACTTATTACCTTCTCATCTATCCAATCATGTCTAATACTTGCGGTATAAAAGACCAGTACTTACACATGTTTGAGTTCGCAGATGCTGACGCTTTCATTCATGCTCTCGTTCAGTCGCCTTCATTCATGCTCTCGTTCAGTCGCCAGCCAACATGTTTCAGGACACGCATATTGTTTTACTATTATTGAGTTCAGACGATGGATATGTCCCGCCGTGTCTCCTGCTACACTTCGAGGTTCCCGCGTTTAGTATGGTTTAGTGCCGCATCTCCCCGTATGCACAGTGGTCTTCGGAGAGTTTTTGATCAGCCAAGGTCTCTCATGAGAAGTTCTGCTCTCTAGGCCTAAAACACCCTGGGTAACCAGTTTTCATTTCACGTCATCAAAAGCCTCAACAGCGTCAGCTCAGCCAGGATAATCCGGCAGGAAGAGAACTATGTCATCCTCAACAACTTGTCCAGCAAAAGAACCTCGCTGTCTGCACGGGTGCATTATCCCGCAGATCACCGATCCACCGACATGAATCAACAACTCTGCAAATCACGAGAGGCGATCTTCTCTCGCTGGTTCAAGTTCAAGCTCCACTTCCAAGGCTTTCAAGTCGGTTTTTCAAGTTTGGTAGGCGCTTCCACCAGCCACTGTTAATATGTCCCCTCTATCATGATTAAACTTCATCCAGGTAAGTATTTCTCCGTTGCTTCCTACACCAGCGGCAGAATTCAAATTGGAGTCCACGGTGACGTGGCGTACGTGTTCATAATTACTACTGATCTGTATTACGACTGATGGGGCCGGATAGCTCGCCTTAAAGGGGAAATGTTCATAGCAAGTGTAAACAAGTTTCGCGTCACCGATATTCCACAGTACAGTGATCTAATAATATCAGCGTTGTCGAGACCACGCTCTCGCGGGCAGTTTGCAAATACCCACTAACAACTGAGTAACTGGTTTAAAAATAAATAAATAAACCTGAGCTAAAGAGAGCAAGTTGTTCATTGGCTGTTATGCATTCTGTAGTGGATATCTCTACAATGGCAGTTAATTACATATTTACATAAGTGTTGTAATTTCACAAACAACAATTTTTAACATTTAGGCTACTTTAAAATCATATTATAAGTCCCTTAATGAAATTAGATCTACAATATTGGAAATGTGTTCAATTGCTGTAATATTCAACCTTTCCTGGTGACTACTTAATCCACTGATATGTGTGATAGAAATATTTTATGTAATGGGTATTTCCACATTAATGTACAGAAAAATGAAGACTAAGGATGCTCCTGTCAAAGGCCACATATCCTTAGCAAAAACTGTTAACTCAGTAGAACTAACAGTCATATTAGTTTTATCAAGTCAACCAATCAAACAGAACTAATCAGTGAAGGAGCCTCGAGTGGCATTGTCTTTGCTCAACTGTATGATTTACATGTTCATGTATCTTTCTATTCAAGAGTCTCAACTGTTGTTGTGGCCAGCGATGAATGGGGCTATTTCTGCAAAGAACAACTTGGGAGCCATGTCAGGCATATGCTGCACATCTGAGAAAAGGATTCTACGCTCAAAAGACAACAGATCAAGTATCATTTAGGTAATGATAGTAGCTTCTTGACAGGACGCCGTCACCTTACTTCAGGTAAGTACCGTATTAAGAAGTCAGATTTAGCCGGTTAAGAATAAAAAAAAAAAAAAAAACACACTAGACAAAGGGTGCACGTCCAATCTTAGATTCGGATATCTAGATCAGTAAAGGCTAGATGAATCTTCTAAGCTTACTCAAGGTTCGTTTCGTCCACTCTTCACAAAATCATCCTATAACGGTCGTTAGCGTCCTTAGGGATTTGACGTGATCGCAAAATATATTATATCTTTGTGCTTACAAAGCATGGTTGTCATCAAGGCAGATCTTATTGTTAGGCGATCATGCCATTCCTGAGACGTTAATTTGGCTATCAATCGTCTTCAATTTCATAATTAATCATTGCTTATTCCTGCCAATGCAAAGCCATAAGCTACGTGCTTTCATTCTTTGTTACAGGCTTTCAGACGGCTTTTGCCGTTCAGCAACCCGGATCCATCACCCTGCCCTCTTCTAACAGAGTTTGTTAAATTAGTAATGTTTTGCTTTTCTTTTCAGATTCCTGTTTTCACATCCTGATCACGGCCGATTGTTCCTTCCTCGTCTACAATTACGAAATCGTAATTTAATATTTCTTCCATTCATAGTTTGCTCGCAGGCATTTAAATTCACGCAAGTATTTTAATACTAATTATCCAAGTTTGTTTATCATACCTTCTCTTTGTCTGCTACTTAAGGCATAGCCAAGACCTGTACTAAACCTCCGATAAACGCCTGCCAATCACATTGTATCACAAAGATAAAAATGTGTATAATTGTGCCCTTTTCGCAGGTTATGTGTTCAAGTTCGTTTATTTATATAGCACATTTAAACAGCCGCTTAGACAGACCAAAGTGCTTTACAGAACCAGAACACACAAATAAGAAAAGTAAAAACAGCAAAATATGTGATGGGTCTCCGGTGTGTATGTGGGGTTTGCCTCGGAATGCCCACAGATAATTTTGAATAGCATGTTGGAATGGTCATTTCGAAAGTGATTAAGCATATCGTTTTGTCTATCCCTTTGGATGTGGCAGGGCTGCTACTCCCGGCACAGGGGTCGGAGTTTCAACAGCTCGTTTTGCAGCTTCGATTACCTCTCACCAACAATTATAAACTTTTCTCTTTGCTCAACCGGGATCATTCAAGATGGAGAGACTTAAGAAGTGTCTACATATAGAGAACATTCCGGATGGTCGTTGATGAATTATGTAGCTCATCGTAGCTATCTCTAGTCACTAATTAGCTTATTCTGTCTCGATTTTCTTTAAATCATGTCCCGTGGGCAGGATTCATGTAAATTTAGGTTGTGCTGCACTAACCCAGGAGGAATTTCGTTAGCTCCTCTCACCGCTGTTGTAGTCTTTAAAAAGCAATTTTTAAATGAATTTCTCCCATTGCTTGAACTTTGAGTGTTGTAACCTTGAAGATGTTGGTTATGCTTATACGGCAACATTTCACACTAAGTAAGTTAGAAAAGCAAAATCCATCCAACCCCCTTTTATTACTTTCTGTCCGTAATGGTCTCTTTTCTATTGGTATTCAGATTGTAGCTGTCTGTTACAGCGTCATGCATGGCTCATGCATCCAGGGGATTCACTCCAGGAGCTAAATGCTCCGATTTCCCCATGGTCTCTTCTTATTTGCGTTTCTCACCTAATTTCTTTACTCTCTTTCTTAAGAACTCTAAGAATGACTCTCAAGGCTCTGTTTCACTTATCAATTTATTAATTAGTTATAAATTCTGTCCCTTCTCATCTATGATTAATTTCTTTAAGTTCCCCTCCATTTATCCTAACTAACGGAGCACTTCTCTCTGAGGCCTAGTTCAGGACTCATCAGTTCTGTCCTCAAAAGCTGCAGTCTATCTCCCTCCCAGTATACTGGTTATTCCTTCAGGATCGAGGCAGCCACTACAGCAGCTGATCATGGCATTTCTACTTCAGCTATTAAGGTGGTCTTCCTCTGCATTAGAGTCTATATAAGACCTGATTCAAAATCATCCTCGAAGCTCAGCAAGCTCTTCACTAAAACGGTTCAGGTAAATAACCTTTGCAACTACTGGTGGTGGTGCCATGATAATACATTCTCACAATTGGTCTTAAATTCTGCTTGCAATTACAAATGGTCAATGAGTCATCGTCTATATGTGGCCTAGTGGCCTTGTCTTAATGTGGCCTTGTCTCTATGTGGCAGTAGTAGCCGTTGTGGTCTTGTCCCATGTGGTCTTTATGGTCTTAAAAAAAAAAAAAAAAAAAAAAAAAAAAAAAATCATGCAAGTGCATGATATACATGTTCAGTGTGGTCTACTGTGACCGTGTAGCCTAATGTGGCCTTGTCCCGTGGTCTTGTGGCCAGTTATGGCATGGTTCTGTGTGGCCTAGTGGCTGTGTCTCGTTGGCCTTGTATCCGTGTGGCATTAGCAGCCTTGTGGCCCAGCGGGCCTTGTCTCTGTGCGGGTCTCAAGGCCTTGTGGCATAATGTTGCCTTGTCCTATGTGTGGCCTACATGGTCTTGTGGCCTTTATGGCCTCGGTTCTGTGTGGCCTAGTGGCCGTTGTCCCTGTGTGACCTCGTCTCAGTGTGGGCTTACGATATCGCGGCCCTTGCGGCCTCATTCTATGTTCAGTGTGGTCTACTGTGACCGTGTAGCCTAATGTGGCCTTGTCCCGTGGTCTTGTGGCCAGTTATGGCATTGGTTCTATGTGGCCTAAGGCCTTGTCGATGAGTGGTTCTGTCTCTGTATGGCTTTAGCAGCCTTGTGGCCCAGCGGGCCTTGTCTCTGTGTGGGTCTAGAGGCCTTGTGGCACAAAGTTGCCTTGTCCTGTATGTAAAAAATGGCCAGTGGTCTGTGGCCCTTAGTGGCGCGGTTCAATGTGGCCTAGTGGCCGTTGTCTGTGTGGCTTGCTCTGTGTGGTCTATAGTGGCCTTGTGGCACAAGTTGCCTTGTCCTGTATGTAAAAAATGGCCAGTGGTCTGTGGCCTTTAGTGGCGCGGTTCAATGTGGCCAAGCGGCCGTTGTCTGTGTGGCCAAGCGGCCTTGAGGCATTGTTGCCTCGCTAAAAAATGGCCATGTGGTCTTGTGGTCCTTGCGGCCTGGTTTTGTGTGGCCTTGCGGCCTTGTCCAGTCTACCTCGTTCTATGTGCGGCATTAGAGGCCGTTGTGGCTCATTGCGGCCTTGTCTCTGTGGTCTAGCAAGGCCATGTGGCCGGGCGGCCTTGTGTCTGTGGTCTATCATGGCCGTGTGGTCCAATGTGGCCAGTTTGCGGTCTAAGGAGGCCTGCTCTGTGTACGGCCCTAGGCGGCCTGCTCTGTGTGGTCCAATGAGGCCCGGCCCAATGTGGCTTCGTCTGTGTGGTCCATCGCGGCCTTGTCTCTGTGTGGTCCAATGAGGCCTGGCCAATGTGTCTGTTTTGTGTGGTCCATCGAGGCCTTGTCTCTGTGTGGTCCAATGAGGCCTGGCCCAATGTGGCATTGTCTGTGTGGTCCATCGTGGCCTCGTCTCTGTGTGGTCCAATGAGGCCTGGCCCAATGTGGCTCTGTTCTGTGTGGTCCATCGCGGCCTTGTCTCTGCGTGGCCCAAGGTGGCCTGGCCCAATGTGGCTCTGTTCTGTGTGGTCCATCGCGGCCTTGTCTCTGCGTGGCCCAAGGTGGCCTGGCCCAATGTGGCTCTGTTCTGTGTGGTCCATCGAGGCCTTGTCTCCGTGCGGTCTGTTACGGCCTCGTCCCATGTGGCCGGTTCTGTATGGCCAAGGTGGCCTTTTCTCTGTGGTTCTATAACAGCTTGTGTCCCATGACCTGTCCCCATGTCCTAAGTTAGCCTCATCTCAGTTAGTCACTATTCCACAACACTTGCTTCCCTCCAATTCATTCACAGGGAAACTGGTTTCGATCAGACGTAAGTGCGTCTCAAAACATAAGTCGCTCTGGATGAAAGCGTCAGCATGGATAAATGCTAATGTACATACAGCAGCAGAACATAAATGCATAAATGCTTTATTCACGTCTTCTCATAGTACCTTTCAGGCTCACTATGAAGTCGTCTCTCACTAATTAGTTAATGGCTACGAGGCTTTCCACATTTCATGTTCATGCCCATTATTAACTCCCTTTTCTTTCTATTTTAGGCTCTAAAGGATACACGACTGGTGGGTATACTTTTCTTTACCGTTTTTTGGGGGTGGGCTCCGTCCTGGTGGAATTATCTTCCACCTATTTTTGGGGGTCGGCTGCGCCCCTGCCTTCGTCTTCAGGCAGGAAATGCAGAGTCCGGACCCTCGGATTGCGAGCTATGGACGGGGCCTACGCCAAAGAACTTTATTGCTTGCTGGGCTATCAATAAATGTATTTATTGTTACAGTATTTATTCTCCCGAGTCTTTCTGGTAGAAATGGAAGCTTTAGCGTTAAGTTCTGCCAGGAAGACTCAATTGCTACGTCACTTATTACCTTCTCATCTATCCAATCGTGTCTAATACTTGCGGTATAAAAGACCAGTACTTACACATGTTTGAGTTCGCAGATGCTGACGCTTTCATTCACCTCCATCCTCCCCACCACCACCAGGATCCCTTCCCCTCCATCCTCCCCACCACCACCAGGATGGTCCCTTCCTATACCTCACAGGGGGTCGGCTGCGCCCCTGCCTTCGTCTTCAGGCAGGAAATGCAGAGTCCGGACCCTCGGATTGCGAGCTATGGACGGGGCCTACGCCAAAGAACTTTATTGCTTGCTGGGCTATCAATAAATGTATTTATTGTTACAGTATTTATTCTCCCGAGTCTTTCTGGTAGAACTTGAACCAGAGATGTCTGGCTGAGATCCAGGAAGATTTATTTACAACTCCAACGTGAAGTCAACTATGAAGTTGTAGTGACTTTGACATACATAATTCACCTTTGTTCTTGACATTGTTCCTCACTGTTGTTCAGGGATCGTGGTCCCTTTAAATCACATATGTCAGAGTCAAGGCCCGCGGGCCACATCCGGCCCGCGAGAAGGTTTTTTACGGCCCCTGGGATGATCTTGATTTATTATTAGAACCGGCCCGCAGACCGCAGCAAGCCGGCAGCCCGCAGATCTTTTACACGCACCAATACTACATTTCCCACAATGCAACGGTGACGCACCGAGCAGTAGGCTGCTTCATTTCAATATTTATTGGCACAGCAGTCGTCAGCATTACAGTAAAATTAACTTTCAGATACCCATCAAAAATGGCAAAACGGAAGGTGGACACTGAGAACCGGGGGTTTCAAACAAGGTGGGAGTCGGAGTATATGTTCACGGAGGTAGCTGGAAAACCTGTGTGTCTTCTGTGTGGAGAAAGTGTGGCGGTACTGAAAGAGTATAATCTGAGACGACATTATGAAACGAAACACGCGGACAAAAACAAGAATATGGACATGGAACAAAGGCTACAAAAGGCAGAGGAATTAAAACGAGGCCTCAAATCTCGACAGGCTCTGTTCAAAAAAGCCAAATCACAAGGCCATCAAAAACCGCATGATTAAAGTTTGTGACGAAGTTTGCCCAGAAAAAAGGCAACTCTTTTTAAATGTGAGTCTGAGCAGAAACACCATTGCCGAGAGAGTAGACCAGTTGTCCATCAATCTAAAAGAGCAGCTTGTGAAAAAGGGAAAAGATTTCATTGCATATTCTTTGGCTGTGGATGAGAGCACCGACATTTCTGACATTGCCCAGTTGTCAATTTTCATCCGCGGAGTGGACTCCAGCCTAAGCGTGACAGAGGAGTTTTTGGCTTTACGTCCTATGCATGGCACAACTACGGGGCATGATTTGTATGAAGAGGTGTCAAGATGTGTAAATGAGATGGAGCTGCCTTGGGAAAAACTCGTGGGTTTGACAACCGACGGAGCACCTGCGATGTGTGGACACAGGAGCGGACTGGTGGCGAAGATACGGGAAAAGATGCAAGAGGAAAACGCGACAGGTGAGCTGACAGCTTATCATTGTATCATACACCAGGAAGCGTTGTGCGGTAAAGCCTTGAAAATGGAGCATGTAATGAGCATCATCACGCGCACAGTTAACTTTATCAGAGCCAAAGGTTTGAATCACCGCCAGTTCAAGGCATTTCTGACGGAGTTAGAAACGGAGCATGGTGATTTGCCTTATCACACAGAGGTGCGATGGCTAAGCCAGGGAAAGGTGCTTCAAAGATGTTTCGAGCTTCGTGAGGAGATTTGTCTGTTCTTGGACAGCAAAGGGAAAGACACAACACAACTCCGAGACGAAATTTTTCTGTGTGAAATGGCTTTTCTGTGTGACATTACGAGTCATCTGAATGCAATGAACTTGCAGCTGCAGGGTCGGGATCGTGTCATCTCTGATATGTACAGTACAGTGAAGGCATTTAAAACCAAACTGACTCTGTGGGAGACGCAGATGCGGAAAGAAAATTTGAGCTACTTTCCCAGCTGCCAGACCATGAAAGAGAAGCTCTCTACCAGTGCGTTCCCGAGCGCACAGTTGGCTGATAAAATAGGTATGCTTGCCGCTGACTTTCGACGCCGATTTGCTGACTTTGAAGCACAAAAAAGCAGGTTGGAACTGCTCGGTAACCCATTTGCTGTTGACGTGGAAAGCTTACCACCAAACCTCCAAATGGAGTTGATTGACCTCCAATGCAATGATGCACTGAGGGCAAAATATGCGGCAGTGGGTGCTGCGGAGTTCGCCCGTTTCCTCCCCGACACAATGCCCCAGCTGCGCATCCAGGCTGCTCAAACGTTGTCTATGTTTGGCAGCACATACCTGTGTGAACAACTGTTTTCTTTGATGAACCTGAACAAAACATCACACAGAAGTCGACTTACTGCTGAACACCTCCACTCAATTCTGAGGATTTCCTCAGCTCAGAGCCTTACCCCGAACATTGATGAACTTGTGGAAAAGATGGGACACCACCAAGGATCACCCTCAACCTCAAACAAGTGAACATTACTGTGCAATCACATATTTAGAGTTTTTACTCAGTTCAAGTTTAAAAGTTAAAGTTTAATATTTGTTTTCACTGCATGTTACTTCTCCTTAAACAAAGTGTTGTTTTTGATTAATAGATTTCTGCACTTTATTTTATTGTATTTCAATCCAATTATATTTTAAAAATATTTCAGTTGAGTGGATGATAGAAAATTGCTATTATTGTTTTTTTCTTTGAAGTAAATTTAGCCCACTTTTGCTAAAATAGAAAATATAGGCTACTGATGGTGCCTTGAATACCGGTTTCTTTCATTTAATGTTCATGTTATGGGGATTTTTATATAAAGGAAATTTGTCTTTTGTGTCTGTTGAAAATTAAAGATTACTGACAGAGCCATAAGAAAATATTGCTTTATTTATCTGATCATATTGGAATATATTTGTTAGGTTTTCAGTAGGTTCAATTAGGTTCACTAGACTATATGCGTCATTTAAAAATTTTTCAATGAACATTCGAACAGTCCGGCCCTCGGCTTGTAGCTAAATTTTTTATTTGGCCCTCCGTCCATTTGACTTTGACACCCCTGCTTTAAATGTTCTGTATGCGTGATGACGTGAGACGCTAGTCAGCGCCATTTTGGAGTTGAGTGTTTTTGTTTTCAATCATAAACGACACACGCATTCGTGTGCTCAATGTGAGAAGTTGTCTCTTGCGATTTACTACAATTTCCACACTGGTGACCCCGACATTAGTCTGCTGGACGTATCCAGTGACCCAACACGACCATGGCCACGAACGCTGTCACCCTCAAACTCCCCGAATTCTGGGAATCGTCGGCATCGGCTTGGTTTGCCCAGACTGAAGCGCAGTTTGCGTTACGAGAGATCACCGCGGATACAACAAAGTATTACTACGTTGTGTCGGCTCTCGGTAATGCAACAGCATCGAGAGTGGTGAGCCTTCTTACAAACCCTCCGGAAACTGAGAAGTATGCAGCACTCAAAGCCCACCTGTTAAAAACGTTCGGACTGACGGACGCTGAGAGAGCCGGTAGGCTTTTCTCCCTTCAAGGATTGGGTGACAGCAAACCGTCCGAGCTCATGGATCATATGCTGGATCTTTTGGGTGAGCACAGACCCGATTTTCTTTTTATACAGCTTTTCCTGCGTCAGCTACCTTCACAAGTGAGAGCTGCATTAGCCAACACCACAATCACTGACTGTCGGAGACTGGCCGAGGAGGCTGATAAATTTTTCCTGGCGAGTCAGGGACATTGCGCAGCCGGGCTTTTTCCCGCGCACATCGCTTCGGTGACACGGGACAACTCCACCGTACGACCGCATATCACCCGCAAGCTAACGGACTCTGTGAACGTTTTCATAGGTCAATGAAGGCTGCCCTGCGCGCTGGCCTCAAAGACAGCAACTGGGTCGACAAGCTCCCGTGGGTGATGCTGGGCATCAGGACCGCGCCAAAGGAGGACCTTCAGTCCTCATCCGCGGAGTTGGTTTATGGACAGCCACTGCGGGTACCAGGGGATTTTGTCCCTAGCACCACGGTTCCCTGGTCTGCTACTTTTCAGCGGTCCACTCTACTGGACAATGCGAGGCTTTTCGCACCTGTCCCTACTTCCCATCACGGCCTTCCTCAGTCACACATACCCGCTGGACTTCAGACGGCTGACTACGTTTTCATTCGCCTTGATGCCCACAGGGGACCTCTACGTCCACCCTGCGAGGGCCCATTTCAGGTTCTGGAGAAGGGGGACAAACATTTTGTGGTGGACAGGGGCGGGAAACCGGAGCGACTCTCCATTGACCGCCTCAAACCGGCTCACTTGGACGTGGCCAGGCCCATAGACCTGGCCCAGGTCCCACGGCGCGGACGGCCTCCTGCTCTGCCCCCACCCCTTGCTCCCCTCGCTCCCAAGCCTCCCACACTCCATGTCCCACACCCGTGCCAGGGCGGGTTGCCGGCTGCAGTGCGGTCTCCTCCTCCTTCCGTGCAGCGCAGCCGTTGTGGCAGGTTGATACGCCCACCTCCCCGTTGACTGTTTGGTTCTCCTGATATGGTGAATTCTGGGGGGACGTGTGTAGTGACTTTGGAAAAAATTCCCGGGGGGGGCATGCCCCCGGACCCCCCTAGGGAGAGCACCCCCACATAATAAATCACAATTTAACCCCTGTATATATATATGAAGAGTTTGGTTACAAAACGCGATAAACGCCATTTCTAAAAAAAAATTAGTTACTACAAAAATCAGTATTGTATCTGGTTGGTATTGAAAAGTCAATGTTTAATTTTAAGTAAAATGCGATATCCGCCGTGTTATTCTGTCATGCTTTCTCCCTTTCTTTCCAAACCGCGACAAACGCCAATCTCCCTTCTCTGCAGAATGCGATATATCCGCTCTCAACCAATCACAACGCACCATTCCACGCAATGTAAACAGTAACGGCAGCGCCTTAAATACACCCGGCTTCCTAGTTTTTCTTATCTATTTTGTACTTTTCGATCAACAAACAAACAAAAAAATGAATAATTTTGATGGCATTGATGAACCTGTGGTTGTAAGAAACATAAGGCATCGAAATCGAATCATTTACATGAGGAGATTAAGAAGATGAGGCACTCGGGAGGAGGAAAAATGTTTTCAATCTTCTTTACAGTTCTTAATAAAAATATTCTACTAATAAACTTACGTTGTTGTGTATTTTCAACAGTTTCAATATGAAAAAAAAAACTTTTATATTGATTCAATGGATTAATTGCATTTTGATTTTAAAAAAAAAAAGGATTTATTGCATTTTGGGGGGAAAAATAATCCGTTTTTATAATAAATCTTTGAAAATCAAAACCTGGATTTTAAATTTTTTTTTTGTTATTATACCTACAAATGCTATGTGAAAGTTTGAAACAGAAAATAGTGCTTTTCATCTTTCCACTTTCTTGGTAAAGAAAACACACTTTTACTCAAATTAATCTAAATGGATTTATTGCGTTTTGGAACCAAACTCTTCATATATATACTAGGATTCAAATTTGAATAGCCTACAAACAGTCATTTCAAATGACGAACAAAGAAGACAACAGCTCGGCCACCTGAACTGAACCGAAGAAAAAACGACGTCAAAAACAAACACCGCAATTAATTACGGTTATTAGTGTGAGCCCTGAGCTTGGTGACTGGCAGCCAACCTTTTAACATCAGGACACAATGATGTCAGCTTGAGCCGTAGTGCGCCTGAGGTAACCAAATTGAGACGGCTGCGGTACTTCGTCTGCATGTGCAAACCCCTGCTCAACAAGGTATGACGTCGGAAAAGCAAGGAGAAGAAGACGAATCCTCTTCCACAAAATAGGGAAATGCTGACCATGCGTGGCCCACACGACACGCCAGCCACAGGGCCGAAAGGTTGCCTTGGCCTCCTCATACTTTTGGAGTTCGATTAGAGTTTATTGAATTTCGGCCTCACTCATGGACACATCCACTTGAAATGGCTCCATCACCCACTCAAAGACATCCAATCGGTCGAGGTCCCTGAAACGGATCTCCATGTCTATCTTCACTGCCCTCAAGTGATCGGTGTAACGCAGCAGGTAGTTATCGGTCAACTCATCAACCACCTGAATGAAAGTACAGAAAGTCAGTTAACGCTATTGAGATTATTTTTAGGCTGCCTTTGTAAATTTAAATATACCTAATAATACTACTACTAATAATAATAATAGGCTACCTTGGCCAGCTGAAGGAAATTGAATTGACGCCTGCTCAAATTTTGTTTGTACAGCTCCAGCTTGGCGAGGAAACTGCAGATGGTGGCCTTTGAATGGACCAGTGTCATGGCATCTCCCTGGAGCTTGAGTGACACTTCATTCATCTTCCCGAAGAAATCTGCCAGGTAAAAGATGTCACCGCGACAGGACCACAGCGTGTCCCTTAGAGCTGCGTCGGCACCAGCAAGAAACTCCAGGACACTTGTGAACAACTCACACAGCCTAGCCAGACAGTTGCCCTTGGATAGCCAGCGTACCTCGGTGTGGAGCAGCAAGCGCTGAAACGCTTCATCGTTCTCCTCGCACAGCTGCCGGAAGATCCGGTCGTTCAGAGCATGGGCCTTAATTTTGTTTATGGCCCTGACAGCGATGTTCAGAGACTGGTGGAGAGAAGAACTTATATTTTTGGCAGGTAGTCACTTAGGGCCCTGAAGATCGTCTCCCCTCGTGTGTCAGTGGAGAGATATTTGGCAAACAAAACGTTCTCGGCCACATCTCTCTCAGACATATAACGCACATACGCCATCAACAGAACATTATTGTCTATTGTCGTGGTTTCATCCAGCTGGATACTGAATGGATTTTCACGAAGTGTGGCACACAACTGCTGCCCTGTATCCAGCGCCATCTCCTTTATTCTCTGAGCCACACTGTCATTGCTGAGCGGGATGGCCTGCATATAAAATGGCAACCCGGACTTCGCTGTCAAGAGAGAGATGTTATAGGAGGCCAGTAACCCACTCTCTGTCTGGTTTACCTTTTTGGGGTTAGACGGGACGGTTTCATTGCCTTGTTAGAGAACACCTGCTGGCAAAGGAGGCACATCGGGAATAAAGCCATATCTAATGTACTCAACACTATACTGTCTGCACTTCTTCTTGTTTTCCGCCATGATGTTTCAATGTGTTTTGATATCAAAATTGTCTTAGCCTACGTAATTGTGCTTGTGTGCGTTTAGATTGGACACATTAATCTTAAACCGCGAAGCTTGTGTACATTTTGATTGGACACATTATTTCTACCACAGCTGCCAGCTGCGGCATTTGTTTTTAGGCGTTGCAATGGAGATAATTTGCTGGTAACTAGCCGAGTGGGCTACTAGCAATATTAATTCATTAATTTGCACAGACTTCATTTTATTTTACATTCAAATGAACATTGTATGTGTTGTCAGAGGCTTAAAAGTTGTGATGAATAACAGTGAGTAACGTAGGGTGACCACCTGGCTATTGCTCTG